AATTTATATATGAGAACAAACCAATTTTTAATACACAGTATGTTAAAATTGATGAATGTGTCTTGGGAGGACGGCCGCTGCTTTAAACAGCTTGGTTTGAGAATGGGTTGAAAATATAACTCCAAGGCTGTAGATGTCATCCTGTAACTACACTTAGGTAATTACCCCCCTCTTCCCCTATACTATATGCAGGAAATATTAATTTTTACTCCAGAATTAACCAGTCTGTAAAATCTGGATCTGGTGACAGCTAAAATTAGCAGAATGAAACTATGCAAGGCAAGTGTTATTGGAGTGAAGCAATTGATTCAAATAGGATAAGAAGAACTTGAAGGTGTGTTCACAGGTGTTGATAAAATTGCAATTGATCTGGAAACCACATTACTTTACAGAAAAGGTGGTTGTGGCTGAAAAGACTAGTAGGTGGCCAAGTTATGTATTTGTGGAGGTTGTGGGTGATGTGTTGTGCATATGTTAGGAAACAGACTTTGTTGTTTAAGAATTATTTTGGTTAAACAAGGTAACTTTTAGTTTCAGTGAAAGTAGGAATTCTTTCAAATTATTATGGTCCTGGGACATAGAATAAACAAGAGAAGCACAAACCACAATTTATATAGTGAACTCGTTCGACTAGACTGGATGATGTAAAATATGACTTCAAACAAATGTACTCAAACAATACCAGGCCACAACACACTGAAGTATCATTTATTTATATATACAAGAGTTCTTACATTCTTGTACAGCCACTAGTACGTGTAGCGCTTCGGGCAAGTCCTTAATCCTATGTTCCCTGGAATACGACCCCCGAAGAATCGTTTTTAATGCAATCATGACCAAACTGTAAGCAATGGAATTGTATTCATGATTTTAAGTAACATTTGACACCTCTGAGAACAATCTAGGGTGGAAGTGAAAGGCTAAAGCATTTTTAGAAATACCTGTATTGAGAAGTCAAGTTTGTTTGCAAGAAGGGGAATGAACATTAATGTGGCTACATGGAATATGGGATTTACCTGGCATTTTAAAATAGCCTCATAGCAAGTGTTTTAGGGTTCTTTTCGACAAGAGACAATTGGTAATTATTCTTACACAGTACACATTTTAATTTCACATTCACTCAAGCTGCCCTTGTATTAGCATACCACCGACTCATAAGGTCAGGAATACAGTGTTCTGGTTATATTTTCATATACAATACAATCACTCCCTCCTTATACACAAATTCAACCTTGGCACTTGGGGTCTTCTATAACCAGAGCTTCCATTATATCAGCTGCTTTGCTTGCCCAACTTCCTTACACTCAACTTGGGCAAATTAATTTTCTTCACACGATACAGCTATTTAAACTGATCAAACCACTTCTTGCACTTCCATCACTAACATTTATCACTGAATCTCTCTCTCTCTCCTCCACCATAATTCTACTTTTATCCAAATTCACTCAAATCTTCTCTCCTACACATCAGTCATTACTAATCTATACATCTCTCACTCTCGGTTAAAAGACCTTTCAACAGCATACAGCAACTTTTATAAAAAGCTGTCCACTCAATATTACTTTGATATTGTTAGGTCTTTCCTCTTTCTTCAGAGGAAAGACAGTTCAAGACATGATGGACTACATCACACAAAAGTGTAAGGAGGCAGCAGACAAGTTTGTCCCAGTCCAAAAGGAAAAAAATTAAATGCAGATGAGAAACCCATGGTTTAATCAGAGTTGTAAGCTAACAAAGCAACTAAGTAAAAGGGTGTGGAGAAACTATAGAAACAACAGAACACTGGAGAGCAGATAAAGATCCCGAGTGCCAGGAATGAATACGTCAGGGTGAGAAGAGAGGTAGAGGCGCAATACGAAAATGACATACTGAGCAAGGCAGATTTAACCCAAACTGCTGCATAGCCACATCAGGAGGAAAACAACAGTGAAGGAACAGGAAATGAAACTGAGGATAGAGGCAGAAGGATTCACTACAAACGACAAGGAAGTGTGCAAGGAACGCAATAAGAAATTCCAGGTCTTCACCTCAGAGCAAGAGCAAGAAGTCCCAGAGATAAGAGAGGGAACATCAAATCACACACCACTAGAGGAGTTTTGATTACCAGTGGGGAGGTGAGGAAGGATCTGGTAGATTTGGACGTGACAAAGGCTATAGGCCCGGATGGAATCTCACCATGGATTATAAAGGAAGGAGCAGAAGCTCTGTGCCTGCCACTCTCCATGGTGTACAACAAATCACTGGTAACAGGCGAACTGCCAAAAATTTGGAAGATGGCCAATGTAGTCCCAATATACAAGAAGGGCAATAGGCAGGAGGCACTGAATTACAGGCCAATGTCCCTAACTTGCATTCTATGCATGATGATGGAGAAGATTGTGCGAAAAAAGCTAGTGGAACATCTAGAGCGGAGGAACTTTGTAGCACATCGTCAGCATGGGTTCAGAGATGGCAAATTATGCCTAACAGGTTTAATTGAGTTCTATGACCAGGCAACAAAAATCAGGCAAGAGAGAGAGGGCTGGGCAGACTGCATATTTCTGGACTGCCAGAAAGCTTTTGACACAGTAAGTAAGGTCGGCCGAGCGGACAGCACGCTGGACTTGTGATCCTGTGGTTCGATCCCAGGCGCCGGCGAGAAACAATGGGCAGAGTTTCTTTCACCCAATGCTCCTGTTACCTAGCAGTAAAATAGGTACCTGGGTGTTAGTCAGCTGTCACTGGCTGCTTCCTAGGGGTGGAGGCCTGGTCGAGGACCGGGCCGCAGGGACACTAAAGCCACGAAATCATCTCAAGATAACCTCAAGAGTACCACATAAAGAGACTAGTGCACAAACTGGAGATGCAGGCAGGGGTGAAAGGGAAGGTACTCCACAAGATAAGGGAGTACCTAAGCAACAGGACACAGCAAGTCACCGTGAGGGGTGAGGTCTCGGAGTGGCGGGGAGTCACCAGTGGAGTTCCACAGGAATCAGTCCTTGGACCTATACTGTTTCTGATATACGTAAATGATCTCCCAGAAAGAATTGACTCGTTCCTCTCAATGTTTGTTGACGACGCACAAATTATGAGGAGGATAGTATAAGGCTACAAGATGACCTAGACAAACTGAAAGAATGGTCCGACAAATGGCTACCAAAGTTCAACCCAAGTAAATGTAAGGTAATGAAACTAGGATGAACTAGGAGGCCAGTCACTGGATACCTAATGGGAGATGAAGTCCTTAATGAAACAGACAGAAAGATCTAGGAGTTGATATGATGCCAAACCTGTCTCCTGAAGCCCAAATCAAAAGAATAACATCAGCGGTATAGGCGAGGCTGGCTAACATCAGAATTGCTTTCAAAAACCTGTGTAAGGAATCCTTCAGAACCTTGTATACCAACTATGTAAGCTATGTAAGGCCAATCCTGGAGTATGCAGCCCCAGCATGGAGCCGGTATCTAGTCGAGCACAAGACAAAGCTGGAAAAAGTTCAGAGGTATGCCACTAGACTAGTCCCAACGCTAAGAGACATGAGGACAGACTACGTGAACTGCACCCCACATCGCTGGAAGACAGAAGAGCTAGGGAAGACATGATCTCCACATACAAAATTCTCAGGGGAATTGACAGGGTGAACAAGGATGGATTATTTAACACGGGTGGTACGCGCACAAGGGGACACAGATGGAAGCTGAGAACCCAAATGAGCCACAGAGATATTAGAATGAACTTTTTCAGTGTCAGTAGTTAATAAATGGAATGCAATAGGAAGTGATGTGGTCAAGGCAGACTCAGTTTCAAATGTAGATATGACAGAGCCCAGTAGGCTCAGGAATCTGTACATCAGTTGACTGACAGTTAAGAGGCGGGACCAAAGAGCCAAAGCTCAACCCCCGCAACCACAACTAGGTGAGTACAACTAGGCGAGTACCAGCGAGAAGCGGTCCGTCTAATTACCCAAAGCTACCCAAATTTACTCGAAGCTACCCAGAGCTTCCTAGCATTACATAAGTAAAGAAGAAATATAATATATTTACTCGATATATTGTTGGTGCTGAATGTAGAACATGAAAAAAACATATTTTTACTCTGAAATATTATAAATTTTTAATGAAATTAAACGAAACTAAGTTGCACGAGGCCATAGTAAGTCGACAACATAAGCGACAATGTTGTGGAGCAACTTATCCAAGATGAACAAATTATTCAGGATATATTGTTGCCTAGAGGTTATATTAAGTTATGTTTGGATAGGTTAGGTATTGTTTGGGTAGGTTAGGTAGGTACAGGAGGCTCATATGCCAGCAGACATTGTCATTTGGACCGTCGACTTGCTTTGGCCTCACCAGCTTTTTATTTTCGTCTAATTTCGTTATAAAATGATACTCTTTCAGAGTAAGAATATGTTTTTCCATGTTTTTCCATGTACCACCACAGAGCAGCCAGGAGTAGCACCACCACAGAGCATCCAGAAGCAGCACCACCACTGAGCAGCCAGGAGCAGCAGCACCACCACCACAAAGCAGCCAAAAGCAGCAGCACCACCACCACCACCACAGAGCAGCCAGGAGCAGCAGCACCACCATCACAGAGCAGCCAAAAGCAGCACCACCACCACAGAGCAGCCAGGAGCAGCAGCATCACCACCGCAGAGCAGCCAGAAGCAGCAGCACCACCATCACCAAATAGCAGCCAGAAGCAGCACCACCTCGAACCTGCCTTGGCCCCACGCTCTCACCAGAATGGCACTGCCTATAGCCACCAGCTGTGACCTGACAGCCACCACCGGCACTCTACAACCTCCTCTTACGTTGCGCAGACTTCCCAAGCCGTATCGCCATACATCAACCACTGTAACCATTATAGCATATATATTGTTAACCACATTGTGTGTTTACTGTCTTCCTGCCAGGGGTATCTGAAACAAGTTTAGACATTCTCAATCTGTAGTAGAATAATCTACAGCACAGATTTACAGAAACCAAACATGGGTGAATGAAGAAAAATACTTGAACTGGTCTCAAACGTAACATTTTTAATAAATATTTTGAGGCACAATGATGTCATTTGCTTCACAACTTTTCTAATTAAAGAGTTGTTATATATGATAAGATATACTGTACCTTAAGTAATAATAGCAAGAGATCAAATCTTGGTGATTATAGGAATTTATAAGGAAAAATTAATTTCATAAAGTTCTTATAGTGGAAAATCAAAATATGATTTAAACCATATTCACACTGGATGAATTAAAATGCTTCAAGATAAGAAGTCACCTAGGAGTTAAAATAATGCTGACTTCAAATAGATCAAGTACATAACAGCAATTGTTTTAAGGACAATGAGACAGTGGCAAAGAAATTAAAACGATGGAATACTCAAAATGCACAAACAATCTAAAGGTCCAATTTATTTTCATTATGAATTACCAAGATGAAACCTTCATTCTGGGATGGAAACTATCATGACAGTTCAACATACTGTATTGTGCAACTTGTATATTAAGGCAGCATGAATCCTATTTATAATTATATGAGGGATAGTTGAACTAATTTCTGAAGCATTCAAGTACAGTATTTCTATCTCATAAATGTGAACTAGAACAATAAGTATGAATTTCAACATAGTACAAAATTTACTTCAATTTCAATTATGTCAAGCTTAATCTAATACATAAACTTTAACAATTGAATTTCTCTTCAAACTTGAGAGGATTCCAATGATTCAAGTGGCAAATATAAATAAATGTATCCACTTACATTCACCATCAAACAAAACATTAAACTTTAGTCAGGAACACAATGTGGACATACAAGCATCTGACTGCCTCAAGCATTTTTAACCATTAACTAAGCCAACAATCATGGGAGATTGCAGACAGTAAAAAACAGCTTGGGTGATGCTGCTGTTATTCCCCAGTTGTAGCAAGTCAATGGAATGTGATGCATTATCCACTTAGCCAGGAGGCCAGTGCATTTGTCGGCCACCCATTACATGTAGGTGGAGGTGGTAAACACTCTGAGCCCCGTGTTGGCCGTTGTTCACCACCAGACGGAACCCCTTGTCCAATCCCTGCTCCTTGGCCACCTTGCGTGCCACTATCATCATGTGGCCCAGCAGCTGAATACACCACAAAAATACTATGTAAATAATACTACTTCATTACATGAGAATAACATTTTTTATGACAATTTTTATTTGGAATGAGGAAATCAATAAAGTTCAGTTTTCTCAGCCTTAAATCAACAGTAACACACTATGTATTAATATTTATTAAAGCCTTTCTTTTAAGTGTATATTATCAAACAACTTCCAAATGCCAGATGGTTACTAGAAATCCAAGCATGAGTTACCTGCTCATCTGAATCTTCAGCATCAGACAACATGGCTACAGGCTTGCGAGGTATCACCAAGAAATGGACTGGTGCTTGCGGCGACACATCATGGAACGCTACACACTGTAAACCAAATGGCCAAAGCAAAGTGAGATGCTAGGAACTTTCGAAATACTGTCCAGAAATATACATTAAAAAAAAAAAAATTGTATTTCACACCCCACACTACACATTACATTTTTTGTTTAAAAATGATTACCTAAGCTGCAGACTTACTTTCCAAACAAATATAAATTAAAATTAACACAGGATTCGAACAACATTTGTCCTAAGCAAATTCAGGCAGATTAATAAATGGTTGTCATATTGAAAATGTATTTTGTATTCATGTCTGCACAATTCTAGCCAACATAGATTTAGAGCATGTTAGCAAGGATTATACTAGCAAAGCCCATATCAAAGACCACCATGATATGGGCTTTGATACCACGGATGACAAAAAGAGGACATAATATAAACAGATGTCACATAAGCTTTCGACAAATGTGATCATGGTGTAAAGGCTCACAAAATGTGTATGAAAGGAATAACTAGCAAATAATATGGATTTTTAATTTTCTAACAGACCCTAAAGACTAAGTCAAGAAAAATCTTGATCATACAGTGAAAAGCTTGTATGTGACAGACCAAGACACAAACTACACAGTTGTACCCAGAACTGGTCTGAGGAAATGCAGAGTCCAATTGAGAAATTTTTTGGCAGGACTTTTACCCCAAGTTCACAGCCAAGTTCTGTTTCATTGAAATTACTTTAAAAATTTAATTACTGTATTTTTAATGTTTAGAAGCAACATTCAAATATAGGTGAACAGCAGCATTGTTGGAAACATTTATCTTTTTGGGATTTCTAAAAACTGACTTACTTTAAATGTTATGTTTTCTGTGTACATGTAAGCCTACAGGTTCAATTATATTGAAGCTTTGAGGGCACAAGTTGCAAGACTATGCCAGCCCTACCACAATACAGCTTGCTACAAACTGGTCGACTTGAGTGAATCTTGCATCAACAACCTCGGCCAACTTGGTTGTGGGTGGCCAGGCCACCCATGACCTAGGCCACCCATGACCCAGGCCACCCACGACCCAGGCCACCCACCAGCCTGGCCACCCACCAGCCAGGCCACCCACCAGCCTGGCCACCCACCAGCCTGGCCACCCACCAGTCAGGCCGGCTGGCATCCCAGGCGTGCCACCCCACACACCACTGTGGCTCTGGCCGCCCACCAGCCTGGCCGCCCACAACACAACCCACCTGGTCGTCCTCGTATATGAATTTGGTGGGAATGTCACCGCGGATAATCTTGGCAAAGATGGTGTCTCCTCCAGGAGCGGCCGTCTGCGCCTTCTCCTCCTCCGCCATGATGACAAGTGACGTCACACTAACCGTGACGTCACGGACATCAGACACTTACCTCGGGATCCCTCACTAATATTTCTAATTGTAATTACGAAGCAATAAGATGCTTATCTTAAGATACTAACATGGTTAGGTAAGGTCGGTGTTTTCTATGAATCTTTTTAAGGGTATCTATTATGTTTAGTATATCACCTATGCACGTAGTTAATAAGTCAATATTGACTTTACGAATTTGCGAGAACGGGTTGAATATTTTTACTATTTCGGACACCAGATTTGGACGTTTCATATATATATATATATATATATATATATATATATATATATATATATATATATATATATATATATATATATGTCGTACCTAATAGCCAGAACGCACTTCTCAGCCTACTATGCAAGGCCCGATTTGCCTAATAAACCAAGTTTTCATGAATTAATATATTTTCTCTAATTTTTTTCTTATGAAATGATAAAGCTACCCATTTCATTACGCATGAGGTCAATTTTTTTTTATTGGAGTTAAAATTAGCGTAGATATATGACCGAACCTAACCAACCCTACCTAACCTAACCTAACCTATCATTATAGGTTAGGTTAGGTTAGGTAGCCGAAAAAATTAGGATAGGTTAGGTTAGGTAGGTTAGGTAGTCGAAAAACAATTAATTCATGAAAACGTGGCTTATTAGGCAAATCGTGCCTTGCATAGTAGGCTGAGAAGTGCGTAGATAAGTTTTCATGAAGCCAAGTTTTCATGAATTAATTGTTTTTCGACTACCTAACCTACCTAACCTAACCTAACCTAACTTTTTCAGCTACCTAACCCAACCTAACCTATAGAGATAGGTTAGGTTAGGTTAGGTAGGGTTGGTTAGGTTCGGTCATATATCTACGTTAATTTTAACTCAAATAAAAAAAAATTCACCTCATACATAATGAAATGGGTAGCTTTATCATTTCATAAGAAAAAATTAGAGAAAATATATTAATTCAGGAAAACTTGGCTTATTAGGCAAATCAGGCCTTGCATAGTAGGCCGAGAAGTGCGTTCTGGCTACTAAGTACGACATATATATATATATATATATATATATATATATATATATATATATATATATATATATATATATATATACATATATATACATATATATACATATATATACATATACATATATATACATATATATATATATATACATATATATAAATATATATCTCCAAGCGTCAGAGGTATACAAAGCCATCATGTCATTTCCGCCAGGCTCAGCAGGGGGATACACTGGAGTAAGACCTCAGCACCTCAAGGAGATGACAATTCCAGTTCTCGGCAAAGTTGCAGAGACACTACTGTCAGAGATCACGAAGTTTGTCAATGACTGTCTCTCCGGGTTGATCCCAGATACAATTAAACCCTTCTTCTTCGGAGCATCCCTTTGTGCCCTTAAGAAGAAGGATGGTGGAGTCATACCCATTGCCGTGGGTAACACACTTCGGCGCCTTGTTGCTAGGGCAGCTGTCAGAAAAATTAGCATAGACGCCCATCAACTAGGTTTTGGTGTCCCCCATGGCTGTGAAGCAGCAGCTTATGCAGCACGAGCCTATATCAAGCACCTCCCAGAAAATAAGGCATTAATTAAATTAGACTTTAAAAATGCCTTCAACCAGGTAAAAAGGGATGTAGTACTGGAAGCAGTTCGAACCAGCTTTCCTTGTCTACTTCCCTTCGTTTCAGCAGGGTACAGTAGGAAATCGACACTGTTGTTTGGGGAACATGAAGTTGTTTCCGCAGAAGGTGTCCAGCAGGGAGACCCACTTACCCCTTTTCTTTTCAGCATGGCAGCTAAGGAGGTCACAAGCAGGTTGTCCAGCGAATTCAATCTGGTTCCTGGACGATGGCACACTGGCAGGGACACAGGAATCCCTGCTAGGAGATCTTCAGCTAGTGAAATTTAAGGGAGAGGAGTTAGGCCTTACACTAAATCCATCAAAGTGTGAAATCATCTCATCCAGCCAACCAATCATATGCAGTACGAATCTTATTGCCAGGAGCCCCAGTGATCGCTCCCACCAACAGTGTGCTGCTAGGGGCACCTCTGGGCTCGAACGCCATTGAGGTAGTCCTCGAGGAAAAGCTTAAAGACCTGAGGAGGATGGAGGCGAGAATAGGGGCTTTGGATGCTCACGATGCTTTGTGCCTTCTTACAAGGTGCCTGGCCTTGCCCAGACTTACCTATTTCCTCAGGTGTGCTCCTTCCTTTAACAGCCCAAAATTAACGGAATACGACTCACTCCTAAAGACAATAACTATGAAAGTGTTAAACCTCTCCCTGCAAGATGACCAGTGGGACCAAGCGACGCTCCCAGTTAAGACTCGGGGGTATAGGTATTCGCAAGGCAATACAGTTAGCATTGTCGGCATTCTTATCCTCGACCAGTGCTACAAGTGAATTAGTGAATGAAATACTACCAGAATACCTAAGGAACTCCATTGGGATTCGTGATCCCAAATTTGTGGAAGGAGCTGGTCAGTGGGACACTCTTGCCAATTCACACACCCGACCAACTTTTCCAAACGACGGTAAACAGGCCAAATGGGATAGCCCCATAGTGGAGAACATCGCCAAAGCATTATTGGACGCAGCTTCTCATAAGGACAGAGCGCGTCTCCTAGTTGTGCAAGCTGTGCCACCCAGACTGGCCGCACCACGCCTTGCGGAACGCGCTGCGCAATTGTCTCTTCCTTCCCGATCAGAAACTCCACCGCCTTTCGTGCCGAAAGGCGGTGTCCATTTCTCATGTAATGAATTTCTCATGTAATGAAGTAGTATTATTTACATAGAATTTTTGTGGTGTATTCAGCTGCTGGGCCACATGATGATAGTGGCACGCAAGGTGGCCAAGGAGCAGGGATTGGACAAGGGGTTCCGTCTGGTGGTGAACAACGGCCAACACGGGGCTCAGAGTGTTTACCACCTCCACCTACATGTAATGGGTGGCCGACAAATGCACTGGCCTCCTGGCTAAGTGGATAATGCATCACATTCCATTGACTTGCTACAACTGGGGAATAACAGCAGCATCACCCAAGCTGTTTTTTACTGTCTGCAATCTCCCATGATTGTTGGCTTAGTTAATGGTTAAAAATGCTTGAGGCAGTCAGATGCTTGTATGTCCACATTGTGTTCCTGACTAAAGTTTAATGTTTTGTTTGATGCTGAATGTAAGTGGATACATTTATTTATATTTGCCACTTGAATCATTGGAATCCTCTCAAGTTTGAAGAGAAATTCAATTGTTAAAGTTTATGTATTCGATTAAGCTTGACATAATTGAAATTGAAGTAAATATTGCACTATGTTGAAATTCATACTTATTGTTCCAGTTCACATTTATGAGATAGAAATACTGTACTTGAATGCTTCAGAAATTAGTGCAACTATCCCTCATATAATTATAACTAGGATTCATGCTGCCTTAATATACAAGTTGCACAATACAGTATGTTGAACTGTCATGATAGTTTCCATCCCAGAATGGGTGGGGGTCCGGCTTCGCTGGCCTGCGGAGTGGGGGTGCTGCGCCGGATCCCCAAGTCTAGGGCTGCCCGCAGCTACTTACCATATGTCAAGTGCTCTCTTGTAGTGCAAGTGAAGGTTTCATCTTGGTAATTCATAATGAAAATAAATTGGACCTTTAGATTGTTTGTGCATTTTGAGTATTCCACCATTTTAATTTATTTGCCACTGTCTCAATGTCCTTAAAACAATTGCTGTTATGTACTTGATCTATTTGAAGTCAGCATTGTTTTAACTCCTAGGCGACTTCTTATCTTGAAGCATTTTAATTCATCCAGTGTGAATATGGTTTAAATCATATTTTGATTTTCCACTACAAAAACTTTATGGAATTAATTTTTCCTTAAAAATTCCTATAATCACCAAGATTTGATCTCTTGCTATTATTACTTAAAGTACAGTAAATCTTATCATATATAACAACGCTTTAATTAGAAAAGTTTTGAAGCAAACGACATCATTGTGCCTCAAAATATTTATTAAAAATGTTACGTTTGAGACCAGTTCAAGTATTTTTCTTCATTCACCCATGTTTGGTTTCTGTAAATCTGTGCTGTAGATTATTCTACTACAGATTGAGAATGTCTAAACTTGTTTCAGGTACCCCTGGCAGGAAGACAGTAAACACACAATGTGGTTAACAATATATATGCTATAATGGTTACAGTGGTTGATGTATGGCGATACGGCTTGGGAAGTTTGCGCAATGTAAGAGGAGGTTGTAGAGTGCCGGTGGTGGCTGTCAGGTCACAGCTGGTGGCTATAGGCAGTGCCATTCTGGTGAGAGCGCGGGGCCAAGGCAGGTTCAAGGTGGTGCTGCTTCTGGCTGCTATGTGGTGATGGTGATGGTGCTGCTTCTGGCTACTCTGCAGTGGTGATGCTGTTGCTCCTGGCTGCTCAGTGGTGCTGCTGCTGCTCCTGGCTGCTCAGTGGTGGTGCTGCTGCTGCTCCTGGGTGCTCAGTGGTGGTGGTGCTGCTGCTCCTGGGTGCTCAGTGGTGGTGCTGCTGTTGCTCCTGGCTGCTCAGTGGTGGTGCTGCTTCTGGCTGCTATGTGGTGGTGGTGATGGTGCTGCTTCTGGCTACTCTGCAGTGGTGATGCTGTTGCTCCTGGCTGCTCAGTGGTGGTGCTGCTGTTGCTCCTGGCTGCTCAGTGGTGGTGCTGCTGCTGCTGCTCCTGGCTGCTCAGTGGTGGTGCTGCTGCTGCTCCTGGGTGCTCAGTGGTGGTGGTGCTGCTGCTTTTGGCTGCTCTGTGGTGGTGGTGCTGCTGCTTTTGGCTGCTCTGTGGTGGTGGTGCTGCTGCTTTTGGCTGCTCTGTGGTGGTGGTGCTGCTGCTTTTGGCTGCTCTGTGGTGGTGGTGCTGCTGCTCCTGGCTGCTCAGTAGTGGTGCTGCTTCTGGATGCTCTGTGGTGCTGCTGCTTCTGGCTGCTCTGTGATGGTGCTGCTTCTGGATGCTCTGTGGTGGTGCTAC